TTGAGTCATTTTTTTTTATTTAATAGTTATGCAATACATGACCAGACAGAATTGTGACCGTGATTTGCAACAATTTAAATATTGAAATGAAATGCTAAAATACTTTTAACAAGGAGGTTATAATTTTGACATTAAAAACTCTTTGGATAAATCCTTGAATTTAATATATTTTTATTCGATGGTAATTATTTTACTAATATTATAAATGCGAATGTTTGGATGTATGGCAACCGCGCTAATAGCAGCGTGTAGTGAAACTAGCTGTTGCCAACGACTCCGTCCGCGTGGAATTACAAAAAAATACTTAATAACTACCCTAATTGTTCTTCCAGACTATTTTTGACATTTGTGCTAAATTTTAACGAGATTGCAGCCGTTCAAAATATATCTTCAAACAAACATCCATCCATCCAAACATTCTCATTTATAATGTTAGTAAGAAGTAAGATTTTTAAAACCCTTTATTTTTTTTTAATTCGGAACTAATCGATAAATATTTTAATTTATTTTTATCAAACAATAATACTTGTATAAAATTATATCATACTATGTCTTATCATTGATAACAATTGTTCCGATAAAAGATTAGGCTGATCACAATTTATAATTTGGCGGAACGTCATCGACCCCGACTGACCTAGGTTTACTGATGTTCACAACAGACGAAACGGAAGAGATTCCGCCTTGCTTTGGCGAAAGAACATATATATAACTAGCGGACCCGACAGACGTTGTCCTGTCTACACGTCTTTAATTTGAATAAATTAATATGAAGTTAATATTTGATGAAAATTGTGAATCTAAACCATTCCCAGATCCCCTTGAACACACACAAAAAATTTCATCAAAATCGGTCCAGTCGTGTGAGAAAAGTTCAGTGACATACACACTCACAGATGAATTATATATATAAAGATTATGTAACGTCAAAAGATAGACATGAATATAGTTCATTTACTGTCTATTGGAAAAAGGTTTTTTTTTCGTAAATATCTTAGTAATATTATAAATACGAATGTTTAGATGTTTGTTAGAACGCATCTCCAGAACGGTTCAATGGATCTCGCTGAAATTTGTCGTAGATTTACACTGCGCTTCCGACGCTCTTTTTCGTTTATAAAAACTAGATGTCGCCCGCGGCTCTATCTGCGCGGAATTAATGATAATAAGTAGCCTATGTGTTCTTCCAGACTATGTTCTTTCTGGAGATGCCTTCCATCAAATATTCGCATTTATAATATTAGTAAGATTGCTTTGTTAAGTGTTTTAAATAATTCTACAATATATTATACATTATCTCACCAATTCTAGAATTTGTTTCTTTTAACAATAATTAATTATTCAAAAATATAACGGTAAAACATTTAGTAGAATATATTTTTGATACTAAATTAGTTTTGCGATCTAATATAAGAAATGCGAATGTTTAGATGGACATTTATTTGAAGGTATCTTCAGAACGGCTCAACGGATCTCGATGAAATTAGGTAGAGATGTAGAACAGTCTGTAAGAAGACATATGGTACTAATTACGTTTTTTATTTCGCGGACGAAGTCGCAGGGGACAGCTAGTATAGTAATATTTTTAAGTCAACAAACTTAATATCAGTTTTTTTTTTGTTTTAAATACATGTTTCAATTTGGATTTTGATACAGTATTTTACTAGTAAAGCGTTTTCATTTGATATACATGTTGTGATGGTTGTGCAATATGGCGCCCGCCATTTTCCAAATAATAGTATTTACATTTTATTAGCTATAAAACTAGAAAGTTCTTTTTTGCATTAATTATTTTATCGTATACACCGACATTGACCCTCATTTAAATTACTCGCAAATTGAAACTATATCAATATGGAAAAGTTATTCTTAGAAATAAATAAATGTATTCAATTTTACGATCAATAATAGTCAAGCGTTTTTAGAGATCCTTATTTGTTGCGAGTAGAACGAAACATTATAGAAAAAAAAAACTTAAGAGTCTGGAAGAAAACATAGGCTACCTATAATGTTTTTTTATTCTGCGCGGACGGAATCGCGGACGACAGCTAATATCTATATAAATGGATAGGCGATTGCTTAGAAATGATATCTTTTGCTTTCGATGTAATCACGCCTGTTAATGTTACATGACAGTTAAGTCTATCTATGTTATTAGTTCGAATCCACACTCTTTCAAACCGCTACCATCAGCGCCAAAATGGCGATCATCAAATTGGCACAAGATACTGTGTCTTATAGCCAGTCCATAGATACGGAACCAATGTACTAATTGTACGTATCACTTGTCAAGTTTGTTTTATATTACCATATGTGACTTTTTTATTGTTTTATTGGTGTTAAGTGGAAGTAATAACGAGCTACGGACCGGTTGCCATGCGGTTAACACATGTATACGTATATAAAAAAAAATTGTATGTTCTTTGTATGCGTTCTTAGAACACTAGACTTTCATGGAGACTTTCGCCAGAGTGGAATTTAAATCATGCTAGGCCTGAATATTTGTGACAATCCTATAGTGATCGAGGATTTAGTCAAAATTGTTGTAGATATTTAGTGTCATTTACGCCCGATAGTTGCGCTCCACGTATTTAAATTTACTTTCCAAGTCCTGTCATAATCATACCACTTACCCGGTACTTACCCATATTTAACGAACAGACAAAAATTTTTTTTTTAATTAAAGTAACACAAATACAATATGTGCATGAAATACAAATTATTTTTATACATACAGACGCTCCAACTTTATCTGTTTTGATTTCAAACCCTACGTATAGATGGCGCTAGTAGTATATTAAAACGCGATGTCGTTTTACTCACTACGAATAGAGTAGTTTTAGCGCATACGCCGTCTCGTCGATCAAATAATATTAGGTGGCCGCAAGTTTGCCCCCTTTTAATTTATAATATTTTTGACATCGCCGTCTTAAACAATTGGTTTTGGCGGTTATATTATATTATATATAGAACAGTCTGTAAGAACACATAGGCTACTTATTAATTTGTTTTTTTTTTAACAACTAGTTATTCATAATTTTATTACTTTAATTTTACGTAACGAATTACAAATCATTAAACACTAATTCAGTAATAAAACTTTATTTGAATATTGGCCTACTTAGTAGACCGTGACAAACCTTGATCATTGGAAAAACCAATGAACCTTAAACATTGTTTAGATTCTTAACAATGATTGTATTTAGATTTAGCATTCTAACTGTGGGTTTCTGAAACCGAAATCCCCGTTTAAAACATATTGTTTTCCTGTTTTGTCTATATTTTTGAGAAAGGATGTTTTTTCTGTAAAATTTAGACGTTAATTTACAACATAGGATAATCAATTGTATGTGTTAGTACATCGTCATCATCATCAGCGCCCTATACGTCCCCACCGAGGGGCTCGGAGCCTACCCTCCTCCATAGCGGAGGCATACCCACTAAACCTCTCTGTTCCTCCAACGCATCGGGACGGGACCACGGGCACGCTTTCGCTCTCGTCCGCGGCCCCGTCTGCGCCAGCTGCCGAGGCAGCTCCCTCTTTCGGGGGGAGGCAGTCCTCAGTCGCCGGTGATGGACTAGCCTACCCTAAGTTAGGGTGACTTAGGGCCATGGTCAACCACGCTCGCCCAGTGCGGGTTGGTTAACTTTACACGTATTTTTGAATTTCTTTTCAGTACATCGTTTTTATAATAGTTATGACGTATACCAGGATGTCGTAATCTTAATATAATTGTATAATACATAAGTCGTAATCATTAGATTGTATGGAGTATTGTGTAGTAATTGATAATAGCTATTGATAAGTAATTTTCGAATTAAAAAAAAACAAATACTTTTTACACGTGTTTTGGCGGATAGACAAAGGTCGATGAAAGTTTGGATGGATTGTGAGTAAGAGGATATGCGTAAGAATAGAATATCTTCTGTAGAAATTGTCTACAGTGGACTTGGCATGAATATTTTTGACAAGCACCATTGTATCGTCGACAAAATACATGCAGCGCCCCTAGCGGACGTAAAGTACACTTACTAATATTATAAATACGAAAGTTTGGATGGATGTTTGTTTGAAATTTTCTTCGGTACGGTTCAACAGATCTTGATGAAATTTAGTAGATGTAGAACATAGTCTGGAAGGACACATACGCTATTGATAAGGTTTTTTTTTTTAATTTTATGCGCGGACGGAATCAAGAGACACAATTGACAATGACGATACACAAATATTCGTTACTAGCTATTGCCCGCGGCTCCGTCCGTGCGGAATTAAAAAAAAACTATTTGTCGCAGCGTAATGTTACATAGCCTAAAGCCTTCCTCTATAAATGGACTATCCAACAAAAAAAAATCAAATCGGACCAGTATTTCCTGAGATTAGCGCGTTTAAACAAACTCTTCCACTTTATAATATTAGTATAGATAGGTCTATATTACGTCCTGGATGCAGGTGGCACAAGAACGGTCATCGTGGCGATCTTTGGGGGAGGCCTATGCCCAGCAGTGGGCGTCTCATGGCTGACAGGAAGGAAGGAATGTCTATATTACTAGATCGATATGTCGCGATGTATCCAACATAGTTAATATCGCGTCATAAACAAATGAACACAAATAGAATTTTCCATACTATTATATTTTACTATTGTAATAACTTTCATAATTAATATGTATGGCCAGTCATAATTTAGATAATGAAGGGTCTTGATTTAAATCAATTTACTTTGTTATTATCAAAATGTAAACACGCTGTATACTGCGAGTCAATGGTCGTGATACTTTTGTAATCATTCAATAAAATTTATATTCCGGCTTATGGATGGATGTATGTTTGAAGGTATCTCCGGAACGGCTTAACGGATTTTTATGAAATTTTTCACACATGTAGAACATAATCTCGAGGAAGACATAGGCTAATTTTTTTTTTTTTAATTCGATGCGAGTGGAACCGTGTGCGACAGCTAGTTGGCAATAAATGTTCATACATATATTTTTTGTTACAGATAATATAATTTCATCCTGAATACTCCAACGAAAACGGCAGCTGTCCGATTTTATCTACGACTGAAGAGACGAAGAAAAAAAAGAAAATAGTGTTAATTATTAAGTCTGTAAGACTGTAAACTGCCTGTGATATAATTTATTTTCAAATTTTAATTTATTTCTAAAAGAATTCTAAATTCGAATTAGAATACAAGACTAGAGAGAAATTAGATCTGGCCATTAACAAATTGGTTTAGCAATTAAAAAAAGAAAGTTGAATCTGTTTTTATCTGTGGTACAATGAGAGACAACATGAAGGCTTGTCAGCACACGCTGTCAGATGACGTCATCTACAAAGAGGTCGTTGTTATCGGTAAGTTAACATTCTACAGATTATATATTTATCATTTCTCTATTCAAGGTTAGATTCCGAATTGAATTCTTTATCACGTGGAACATTAATTATACCAAATTACCCTATTTTTATACAAGTATTCAGTCGGACTTATCCTGTCGCCAGCGATTCCGATACGAATTTAAAAAAAAACTTAGTAGTCTATGTGTTCTTCCAGACTATGTTCTATATCTGTGCCAAATTTCATTCGTTGAACCATTCCAGAGACGCGTTCCTTTTTACGTTTATAATATTAGTAAGATAAGGAAGATCTCTCACAGGTAGCCCTAAATTATAAAATAAATTATTGTCTGGCTATTCTTAAAATAGTACGACAATATACCTTATTCTAACAGGAGACTTGACCAATAAAGTCAATTGACCGTCTCGACGTTCGTAATTAATGTTATTAATTTAAATTGATTTAACATAACGATCCTGAAAACTCAATAGCACCGGGAATTTGAACCTTAATACCATGGTATAAGACTGAGTTTTGTATAAAATGTCGACATTAAATTAGCATTTCATAAAGTAATTTAAAAAAAAATCAAAATATAATAATGTACTAGTAAGATGAAGCGTAAATACACTTCTTTATAACCCAGAATCTTAGCAATCACTACTTATTTTTCTAAAATATTGTTTTTAATATAAAGCCCTATATTTACGACACGCTTTAGGCTAAATATTTTCATGCCATTAAACTTAAGTGATGAGTAAATTGAAAAATATAGTTATGCAAGAAAGGGACAGAAATTGCAAGCCAATAGCAACAAAGACGGTTGCCATGGTAACGACATTCTCATTTTTATATACAAATATATTAACGCGTATTGTCTTACTTAGGCAATGGTCCTAGTGGTCTGGTGACGTCATACATGCTGGCTGGGAACGTGCCATATTTGAAGCGGAATATTCCTGATGAACTGCCCATCGACGACATGCTGAGAGCCAGGTGAGAATTGTATTTACTTACTAGCCCTTGACTTCTTCAGCATGGAATAAAAAAAACTTAATAAGTAGCATATATGTTCTTTCAGACTATGTTCTACATCTATGCCAAATTCCATCAAAATTCGTTAAGTCGTTGCAAACATACCTGCTAACAAACATCCATCCATCTAAACTTTCGCATTTATAATATTTGTAAGATTACTCCCCTATACATTAGCTACTTTCTATTAAAAGTCACGTCAAAATTGGTGCAGCCATCCTAAAGTTTATCCGGGACAAACACGAACTTGCGGACAGACAGACAGACAGACAGACTTTCTTAATTTTTTTCTTGATTTTTTTTTCAATGTGAACGATAGAACTCCGTCTAATACTACCAAATAACTCGAAGAATGATGAAATAAATTAATTTTCCAGATTATCCAACCTGCCTCCAGGACAGAATCTACTAGAAACAGACCTTATGGAGTTGGCAGAGGGCTTGGAAGGACGGAGTCACAATCCCATACCTTTATTGGTAAGTGTTCAATACTTTTGTCTTGTTCACAAAAAACTACAAAACTACAGACTGTAGTGCTTAGAAAGTATAAGCTAGTAAAAGCATACCTTTGCGATATTAAAAAAATATTTTGAGACGATTTTACGTGGTAAACTTTGTTTATTCGCACGGAATTAATAAAACCTAGTAATTAATAAAGTCTATAGTTGTCGCAAGTACTTTAGAAAGATCAATACTTGAGACAAAACTACCTTATCTCCCAAGTTGAACCAAATTGCAGATGCTTACATTTGTTCAGTAGTTTCGGAGTTTATCGCGAACATACATACATCGTGACACTAATTTTTTATTTACATAAGATGTTATCCGGGGATAGTGTAGCTTCCCAGCAGTGATAGTCTCAAATAGTAATAGTAGTTTTGGAGTCTATTTAGTACAAACTTTTTTCTCTTTATAATATAGACAAAATCAATCGCTATCGGCATCCAAAGGGTTAAATGTTAACATTTAAACTGACATATTTATAATTTTTATGTAACAATCGATAATATCCACGTGTATAGTTTTATAAAACTTCATCATCAGCTCACTATACGTCCCCACCGAGGGGCTCAGAGCCTACCCTAAGTTAAGGGTGATTAGGCCATAGTCAACCACGCTGGCCAAGTGCGGGTTGGTTGACTTCACACATATCTTTGATATGTGCAGCATTACGATGTTTTCCTTCACCGTAAGAACGTCGGATAAATGTACATTTGTAAATTGGAAATCGAAAAACACATTGGTACATCTCGGGATTCGAACCCAGGACCTGCAGATTGCAAGTCAAGTGCTTCACCTCTGAGCCACCGACGCTCTAACTATAAAACTTACAATCTGTAGTATTAAAGAAGACATACAGCATGTTTTAAAACTCATCTTGTTATAAAAGTATTAGTAATACGATTATGATTCTTTTTATAGTTGCTTAACGCACGTGTTGGAATACCAAAGTCGAAATAACGTCATATCTTAATCAAACATATAAAATTATATTACTAGCTTTCGCCCGCGACACTGTCCGCGCGGAATTGAAAAAGGCTTAATTAGTAGCCTGTGCGTTCTTCCAGACTATGTACTACATTCATGCCAAACTTCTATCCATCAATCTAAATACTCGCGCTTATAATATAAGTAAGATATATAAAATTCTCAACCTAACTCAAATATGTCTAGTTTTAATTAATTTTGTTTTATGTATATTAACAAGTTAATTTACATACAATGGTACATGCAAATGTCGTTTTCATAAATATTATGATTAACATATCGAATTTCGTGAATAAGCAAATTTGAAAAAAATACTGTTGTAATCATGTAAAAGTCTTTTTACTGCCTTCTAATTAATATTATAAATGTGAATATTTAGATGGATGGATGTTTGTTTGAAGGTATCTACAGAACAGCTGCATGAATCTTGCTGAAATTTGTCATACATATAGAACATAGTCTGGAAGAACACATAGACTACTAACTTTTATTTAATTCCGTAAGAAGTCACGGGCAACTTTTATAATAATTTTAAGAACGTAAATATATTTTAATATTAAAGAATGTCTGTAGACTAGCGATCGCCCGCGACTGCGTCCGCGCGAACTTAATAAAAAAACATAAATAATAAGTAACCTATGTGTTCTTCCAGACTATGTTCTATATGTATGACAAATTTCATCGAGATCCGTTCAGCCGTTCTGGAGATACCTTCAAACAATAATCCATCCATCTAAACATTCGCATTTATAATATTAGTAAGATAAATATTATCTAGTAATAATGTGTTTTGTAATATTTTCAGATGGACAATCTGTTGAGGCCCTGCGCTGATTTAAATATTGACGCAGATTCACTTATAGAGTGGAAATATGATGTAGAGAAACAGGTAAGCTGTAACATCATCATCAGCTCACTGTACATCCACACTGAGGGTCTCGGATCCAATCCAACGCTGGCTCGGTGCAAATTGACTTCACACATATCTTTGAATTTCTTCTCAGATATGTGCACCATCACGATGTTTTCCTTCACCGTAAGAACATCGGATAAATGTACATATGTAAATCGAAAATAAAAAAACACATTGGTACATGGCGGGATTCGAACCCAGGATCTGCAGATTGCAAGTCAAGTGCTTAACCCTTCAGCTACCGACACTCTATTCTTAATATCTTGCTAATATTATAAATGCGAATGTTTAGATGTATGTTTTTTAGAAGTTATCTCCAAAACGGCTCGATGTAGAACATAGTCTGGAAGAACACATATACTAATTAAGATTAGTTAATTGTACGCATACGAAGTCGCGGGCGACAACTAATATTATAGTTGATAAATTGTTGAATATAATATTTTGTTAAAGGCACGTTTTATTATTACGTTGTTTATGTTGTGTCATAATAATGGATTTGATTATATCGTATATTACTGGAACTATTGTGTTTACCTTATTATAAATATAGTAGTGTAAATAATTCATTATTTTTAACTCGTGTTTAAATATAACGCGTATAATTATATTTTAACAGTGGTAGAGCGAGCTTTAACATGTTCGCACGAATTGTCCCGGCTCGCTCAGTGAAATACCACGACCACACAGAAGACACGCCTCAAGTGAAAGCTATTCCGCGTACAGTCTGATGAGTGTGCGTCCCGGAGGCCTTATATAGTCCTCTTTCCCTTCCCACCCTCTTCCTTATAAGGAAAGGATGGAAAGTGGAAGTGGACTTTCCGAATGAAAGGATGCATGGAAAGGGAAAATATTTTCTTTCTGTGCATCCTCTCCTCCGTCGATTAAAGTTAGGCAACGCATATGCGATGGCGTATGTCTATAGGCAACGGTCACTTCGCTATTTCAGCGATTTCAGGTGGCCGCTCGCTCGTTTGCCACCTTATGATATAAAATAATAATAATATACATACGGAAAGAGAGAAAGAAAGGTTGTTATTACTGGTAATAAAGATTAAACCTAAAAACAATAACTAACATAAATTGCACAATGAGAAATGAAATTAAACTTAAATTACCATTTATGGTTATTTTGTGTAAACTAGTGATGCCCACAGTAGACATTGGCTGTATCGTGGACATTTTCATATACGTATACAATATTCAGTACACAAAATAACATAAAGCCACACTCACGTCATTTTAGCATTTAACAAGTATCGGTTACTCCGGTACACATATAATAAAAAAAATATAAGATATGAATATGTTAAAGGATCTAGGATTGTATCTTCAAAAGGTTCTCAGTATCGTTATAATTTAAAGTTAGCAGCCACTTCTGTAGGGTAAAACTGGCTCTCATCCGTGACCTCGGCAGCTGGCGCAGACGGGGCCGCGGATGAGAGTGTAAGTGTGTCCGTGGTCCCGTCCCGATGCGTTGGAGGAACGGAGAGGTTTAGTGGGTATGCCTCCGCTATGGAGGAGAATCCCACATAACTACCGCGTCCCCCCCCCCGGGGCGTGGAGTATGCATAAAGCATTCCTCTCTGGAAAAAAAAAGGTGTCTCTAGAACTGTTTAACGGATCTCGCTACTAGATATATTAAAAGCTAATGATCTGTTTATACTTTGTCTTGTTTATACCAAATGTATAATTGTTTATGTATATGTTAGGTGGAGCACGTGGTGCTGGGTCGGGGTCAGCCGGGCGGCTCCTGGCATACCTTCCCCCCCGCGCTGCGCACCCTCTCCCCCGCACCCTGGCTCGCCCTCCCCCCGCACCGCACCGCACACCCCGCACCTGCCCCGCACTCGCCCCCCGCCCCCCACTCGCCGCACGCCCGCCTCACCGCGCGCGCCCTCGCCAACTACTGCAGGCGATATGTACGAGTCAATAATTTGCAGGTCAGTTCATCATCAGCTTATTACACGTCTCTACTGAGGGGCTCTGACTTTACCCTGAGTAAGGAGTCACTAGGTCATAGTCAACGCTGACCCAGTGCTGGTTGACTACACACATATATTTGAATTTCTTCTCAGATATGTGCAGCATCACGATGTTTTCCTTCAACATAAGAACATAGAATAAATGTATATATGTAAATCGAACACAGGGAAACTTTTGTATATGGCAGTTAATAATCCGACTCGAAGGACCAAGACATGATCCTTCAAGCCGGATTCTTTCAGTTAAAATAGACTGGTATTGTAAAAATATTGTGCTATTAACTAAATTGTAATATTAAAGTTTTGTTTATGTGCATTTTGATAATATTTCAGCGTTTCTTCCGATGCGGTGTGACAGTGACGAGCGTGTCGCGATGTCCGCGCGGTGGTGGTGGTGGTGGTGGCCCGCCCTGCGCGAGCGCCGCCTGCCCCCGCGCCGCCACATTCTGCGTCTCCGGGTAACTATGCCCTCCCTTATCCTTTTCTTGATTTAAGCACAACCGCAACATATATAATCTTCTTATACATATGTAAATATTGGTGTACATAAAGTTTACAGAGGTATTGAGGCCTTTTTATTCATTTTTAATTTACAATCATCCAGATGTTCACATGGTAAATTTTCATCCATACAAATACCCGCTGTATTCTTAAAGTTGACAAAGATAAATAACAATATATTTTAAATGAGCACTTTGTTCTTAGAAACTCAAAGGTAGAAAAACCATTTCTACGATTTTTTTTGTATCCCTCATATTAAAGTTTGCATGTATTTTTAGAGATTATTAGTTCGAATTCTTTGTCGTGAATGGCGCACTTTCCTTACCAAGACAAGTTGTAGAATGAATAGTGAGGGGACACGAACGTCGACATCTTAGTAAGGCTAGTGTTGCGCCAGTACACCGGTATGTATGTATGTGTATGTGTGGGGGGGTGCTGCAGATACGACAGCGTGGAGGCGCGGTGCGTGCGCTACGTGTGCGGGCGCGTGGTGGTGGCGTGCGGCGGAGCGGACTCCCCCAACGCACACCTCGCCCACCTCGCGCACCTCGCCCCGCACGCGCTGCACCACCTCGCCGCGCTGCACTCCCCGCCTCCAGGTGATGCCGCATCTCATCACACCATCACATCATCACACACATACACATGGACAATAACATATATAAACTACCTAGAAAAACTCTAAAACTACTTCTTAGTTTTTTATTATTACCTAAAAAATGTTATTTTTTAAAAAAATTCAATGTTTTCCTACTTAAATTTAACACTTAATCTCATTATACACATTTTACATCATAGTATAGTATATTTCAAATATATCGCCAGCTCAAAGTCTCAAACCACAAAATTGTACTCTACGCAGAAACTCTTACGACATTTGGAGTCCATAATATAATAAAATATCATACTATCAATTAACTTTTCTTTATATCAGAAGAAAGACAATGGGTCCATGAATCTCGCTGAAATTTCACATAAATGTACATAATCTGGAAGAACACATAGACTACTAATTATTTTTTTTAATTCTGTGCGGACAGAGTCGCGGGCGACAGCTAGTTTTATTATATTATAATAATGTATGTAACATGATCAGAAGTGTCGAGCAGCAGCGAGGCTGCGCTGGTGGTGGGTTCAGGTCTGAGCGCGGCGGACGCGGTGCGCAGTCTGCGCGCGCTGCGCCGCCACGTGCTGCACGCGCACCGCACGCCGCCCGCAGCGCTCGCCCGCCTCCCGCCCGCCGCGTACCCTGACTACTGGGAGGTAACATTCACATCTCATACGACACCCCCCACCGCCCCCCACGTCCTCCAATACAAAAATAAATCCATAAAACTCAAAAACTATTTGTCACTTTCTATTCACTAGGTAAGAAGTATTTTGTTTGGAATGAAAATGGATTATCTTCCTACTTGCCCTCCAACCTAGATCTAGTCTTAATCATCGGCAGGCTAATTGGATACCATAAATAATTTTACACGTTCAATGCCATTATATACAGGTTTAATGGTTAATTAAACCCTTTGAATAGTTTTTTGATTAACTAGCTGTCAAAATCAAAAATAAATTAATAGCTTATGTATTCTTCCAGACTATACTCTACATCTGTGACAATTTTCATCAAAATCTATGCATGAGTCTTGGATATACCTTCTAGCAAACATCCATCTAAACATTCGCATTTTTAAAAATTAGTAAGACTAGTAAAACACTCGATATTCTATCACAATTCGTCAAACTATAAAGGCAGTGAATGTCGTAACTTTTAAACGTCAAAGTCACTAGATGGCGCTGTTCTTATTATGCACATAATTTCCCTAGATGGCGCTGTTATTAATCGAAAAATCGTAATTTATCTAAATTTCCAGATTTACAAGATGATGTGCGACGGTCCGAGCGGCAACCACCACAACTACACGCCTTATCCCGATCACGTGGTCGTCGACGTCACACCTCTAGACCCAGACAATGACAGCAAGTACAGCCTCAAGCGCGTCACACTTCTAGACCTCGCCACAAACCTGACCACACAGGTCACAGTCTCCCTCATCGTGGTCCTCATCGGCTCCAGACCTGATCTCTTCTTCCTCCAGACAAACTTCAATATCAACGATATAGAAATAAAAAAATGCATCAAATGTACCAACGAAAAGGAAAACAGAAAAATCGAAGAAAACCAAAAACAATGCTTCTTCAAAAACCATTGGCATTATTTCAAATCTGTATTAGGACAGAGCATTCAGAGTTGCAAGTCTAGATATTTGAATTATACAGAAATAAATGGCAACACTGACAATAAATGCAATAATACCAACTGTGACAAAATAGAAGACGGTTCTGACAATTTTAAATACGAAGTCATCCCGTATACTGATTTAGATAAACTTAAGTGTGAATGTCAAACCACAAACCCGTACAGCAGTGGATTGGGTTTCGGTATAGATCCATTGAAGCCAGTTGATGGCAGATCGAATCCAGTAGCCATAGACAAGAGTACCCATGAAATACTTAACGCTCCCAAAGGAATCTATGCTTTAGGACCACTCACCGGAGACAACTTCATAAGGTTCATCCCCGGAGGAGCGCTAGCGATAGTGGCTCACATACACAAAGAAATGAAGACAGTAGCAGAGTGATTTGATACTTACTCAGTGAAATAAATGTGATTTTATATATACTTAATTTTTTTTATAATAAATTATTTTTATACCCACCAGAGATTATTTGTTTTATTTAACATGTCACACAAGTCAGTAAGTCATAAAAAAATAGTAAAAACAGCCCTTTACTTCAGACATGTCAAACTAGACTTATTATAATACCTAGAAGTATTAAGCTTCGAGCGTCAGTGGCTCAGAGATTAGGCACTTGACTAGCAATCTGCAGGTTCTAGGTTTGAATCCCGCCATGTACATTTGTTCGATGTTCTTACGGTGAAGGAAAACATCGTGATGGTGCACATATCTGAGAAGAAATTCAAAGATATATATCTTCTATATGCGAAGTCTATCCACACTGGTCTATTGACTATGACCTAGTCACACATAACATAGGATTCGCTCCAAGCCCCTTAGTGTGGACGTATAGTGAGCTGATAATGACATTCTTCATAGTATTATGTTGCCCTGTCTTATGGTATATTTGTGAAACATCTTTTGTAAATAAAAAAGGTTATTAAAAAGATAAGATCAGAAACAACTATACATTTATTTAAAAGTTATAAGCTTTGTACAATCTCCAATCCATACATTATCCATCAAACTCATACAAGATATAAATCTTAGCACCATCATTTCTTTACCATACCAATTTGCATATCTAGTTGTTTTACAAACAGTTATATAGACCAACAAAGAAATCTAATACGGTGCAACTAACCGAGGGTTTCTGAGATTTTTGTATAAACCACCTGTCATTATCTTTGACAAAACTAAGATAACATGCTTTAATCAGTGATTTTGGTCTCAGTAAGCCACGGTTAGCAAAACTTATTACAATACCTAACTAGCGCAGCCCAGTGGATGTTGCAAGTGACACAAAATCCTTGTCACCGCATCATGTCCATATTCATTCACGTCTGTATTTATATTTTCTGACAGTACTAGATGCAATATCAAGACCACTTACTACGAAGACACCAAATATCTTTATTTAACTTGAAAAACATGCAAAATTGTCAAATTTATCATAGACACAAAATGTAAATATTTAGTTATTTTTGTAATGATCACATAAGCCGCAATTAAATTATACAAGCACATTTTTAAATGCCTAAAAACTTAAATTGATTCTTAAAGCCTCTATTTTTCTATAAAAATATATATCTTATATGTATTTTTACATTTCCATCCTTAAATTATAACTAGACATAATCAATTACCTAAATCAGTAAGGAATATTATTTTCGGAATAATATCTATAGATAGATCAAAATTAAGATTTTAACAATAAAATTTATTTGAACACATAATAGTTATAAAATAAAATTGAATAAAGACAATACAAGATAATATATGATTAGGAAGAATAGTATTTAACTATATAAAGTAAATAAAAACTAACCAAAATAAAATGTATTTAACATAGTTACATTATTATATAACTAATATTGCAATAATATGCAATAATAAGATTTATTTTTAATTATTTACAATATGGCACTATATAAGTTAAAATTTAAAAATATATAAATAAATCAGTTTGAATAAACTTATATATACATGTATTTAATTACGTCATTTTCCACGATATAATATTTAATTTTTTATAACATTTAATTTAGATTCTTAGCTTATTTTAAATATATTTTTTTTTAAATAAAAATATTTCTCTTATAACTACATAATTTATTTACATATAAGTCAAAATAAATATTTTCAAACTATTGAATCTATTAAAATATTCAAAGCCTTTTCTTTTTACATTAACATTTCATGCTTTACGTTTAAACTATCCGTCGCCGCGAATCTGACAATGTTTACAGAGAATAATTTCTTCAAATCAATTTAAAAAAAAATATTCAATTTAAAGATAAACAAAAATGTTATTAAATAAATTCCTGATCAGATCAGAAAGAGTAGTAATATGGTCAGAATAACATAATCCCATAAACAATATCATATTAAGTACAAGCAAAAATATTGTTAAACATACTATGATAACATTTCGTCAAGAGCCCAAAGCAAATAAGGGTTTCTCAAAGGGCAAATTCCTCAGGGACCTCAATTCATCAGCTAAGACTTGTGGCAACCCTAGCGACGCTGTTGGCACTATCAATGGAAGGTTTTGGACCAGAAACAACAGCACTATATTACGTAAAGATCTGACACCTACTGTTATATTCCAATTTGTTCTATACCTCATTCCACCAATATTAGCAGGAGCTCTAAATATAGGATTATTATTTATAACATATCTCTCTTTGGTTGTAACATCAGTGAATTCCCACGGATGTGTTATGTATGTATTTACATCGTAATAAGTGCCAGGTTCTAGTTTAACAAAGTGTTGCTTGGCACCATTAAAATCTCTCCACCACACATCGATAGGGCGCGACGACCGGTTCGTGAAGCGAAGATACGCAGTTCGTACCGACTCTATTGATCTTACGAGCACTCGTTCTCCTGATTGGTTGATCTCATATATTAAATCACCGTTACCAGCTTCCGGCATTATGTTATTGATTTAGTATTAGCTCACATATATCTAGCTACGTGTTTCACTCGCACTAAAATCAATTGCAATTAAATTAAATTGGATATCTAATTTTACTGTACGTGTATTCAAATTCCCGCCACAAACAAAAATATATCATGTTGGCAGAACTGATTCACTTCCACTAAATTTTCTGCACGATGGCTGTTTGTGTCGCTGTTATTGGAAAAGACGTAAGTTTTTACACATAATATCTTACATTCACATTCACTATTACTTTGTTCTTGTCTAGATTACGTTTTTATATAGTTAACAGGATTTTATTATTATTTTAAAACGCACTTGAACACAACATACATTGCTTATCGTATTGGCAAAATTTTCTCTTGTCATTTTCATTTGACATATTAACATGGACAAGCAACCATAAACAACAGCGCTTTAACAGTTACCCTTTTCTAAGAAAAAACATAAAGTTATAAGTCTAACTTACAAGTTATGAGATCAAATATTTATTTTTTTTTTTGGTATATTTCAGAATTCCCCTTTATACATCGGTGGTGTGGGAAATGACACAAACACCGATAACGAACTTTCTCGACAATGGCTCGTCCACACAGCCCTTGATGCTCTGGAAGAACGTTTAGCGACAACCAACACCAATACAGCAAACTCTGCTTCAAATGCTTCTCGTACTGATTTACGCGATTTGTATTTGGGATTACTTTATTCGACAGATACGCATAAAATGTAAGTCGCCATTGATACCTTGTTACACGGCATTCTTTTAACGTTGCCACCGTGTAGTTGAAAGAATGAAAATTATAAAAATATTTTCAGATATGGATATGTGACAAATACAAGGATTAAACTTGTTCTTGTAACAAGCTCAACATCACCAAGTGGTAGTAATATACGAGATGCGGAAGTACGGACTGCTTTACGTAGGTTACACGCGTTGTATGCCGATGCTATTTGTAATCCATTCCATTTGCCCGGTGAACAAATTACGTCATCGTAAGTAAAGATTGTGGAATGAAATAAAACGTAAAAAAATAATTTACCAAAAAAATTAAAAACTATTTTCCATTTTTTCCAGAAAATTCGACAGACAAGTGAAGAATTTGCTGTTAAATAATGTTTAGTCTATTTTCAGCTACAAGACATTATTTAGTTAAAGAAATTATAATTTAGCGATTATATACTTTGCGTTTAGCACACAATGCTCCTGTCCTTAAGAAATGTATGTATGTAATAAGTTCATTTATTAATAATTAAAAAATGTTACTTTGGAAGTATAAAATGTAAAATTTGTTAACTGCTTCAGCTTGTATGATTTAATAATTATAGCATTTAATATTTACTAGTTGTTTTTTATTAATGTATAAGAAACTACATGTATACTTAAATCTTACATCTTAAAATTGCACGATTTATTTAATGCAAAAAATCCTCAACAAATTATTAATGATCTATATAACCTGTAATATTCATAGACAAAAACTTTGATTTCGCGCGCGCGCTGTCAAAGAAAATTATTCTTTCTCTATGACCTAAGAAGTCAAGCTGTTCTCCGGTTCAGCGCTGAGCAGTTTTTTTTCGTGAAATTGTTTATCTCGACCGGGAAATCGCATCAAAATGGTGAGTACAAACAATTTTCTACATGATTAAATAAATAAAACTTATTTTGGTCGAACAGATGAGAAAAATACATAAGAAACTTTTTAGGTTATGACACGTGTTTTTCATATAAACATTTCGATACGAATATTTAGTTATAAATGCTAGATTTGTAAATTTTTAAATACGTTTAGTCCCCAATACTCAAAGTATACTAGTAATGGTTTTGAATGGCTAGTTTCTAAGTATTTGATGTAATGTTTCCAGGCAGCCGCTGTCGTGTCTGGGAAGGACATTGAGAAGCCTCAGGCAGAGATCTCGCCTATCCACCGCATCCGTATCACTCTGACATCCCGCAACGTGCGTTCCTTGGAGAAGGTGTGCGCTGATCTGATCAATGGCGCCAAAAAGCAGAAACTTCGCGTCAAGGTGTGTAAATACAAAAGTCTTTATAACTTCCACGTATTTACTGTGTTTATGTACTGTCATTCCCAAAAAAATATTGTATACATGCTGCAGATCTAATGACAATCCAAATTCTTTAGTTTATCATGATGAGAACTTAGAGCATAGGTGGCTCTGAGGTTATGCACTTGACTGGTAATCTGCACATCCTGAACTCGAATCCGGCCATGTACCAATGTGTTAGATTACATTACATTAATCCAACAGTCATATGGTGAAGGTGTTTGATGCAACCTGTATATATCTGCAAAGAAGTTCATTGATATATGTCAAGTTAATCTGCACTGTGCCTGCATGGTTAACTCTGGCCTACTCACCCCAAATATAGTGTAGGCTCCGAGCCCCTCAGTAAGGGTGTATAGTGAGCTAAATAAATGGAAGTTAGAATAAACGGTTCTATATTATTTTTAGCTTCTGTTACAGTAGTATAATACCTTTATTGACTGATTTTTGCGCCAAGATGAAGACACTGCATGTGAATGGTGTAGTGTTCACCAAAGTGGCGCTAAAGAAATGATATTCAAAGTGCAGTGTGCAGCCAATGATACTGCACTCTTCTCATAGGATAGCAACAATTGTAATATGAAAATTACTTATCCCATTACTTTAAAATAATTTATACCAACCCTACATAGAATTAGTTTTCTTGTCCTGTAATGGATTATTCAATACTATAGCTAAATAGTTATATATAACTTAAATATTTAGATCAAAAATAATATTCCAATTTTTTTTATATTATTGAATAAACCAATGCTTAACCACAAACCCACTTAGTAGTAAGGTGGCTATGTGATCGAAGGATGGTATGCACTAGCTTAGTAAATACCTATTTGCCCTACTGTTCAAGGAACTCATGTTAATGCTTAAAGGAAACACAGACGCTGCCAACTTATTCCAATTTCCTACTTACAGGGCCCAGTCCGCATGCCAACCAAGATCTTGCGTATCACCACACGTAAGACACCCTGCGGTGAAGGTTCAAAGACTTGGGACAGGTTCCAGATGAGGATACACAAGAGAGTGATCGACCTGCACTCACCTTCGGAGATTGTGAAGCAAATCACATCGATCAACATTGAGCCGGGTGTAGAGGTGGAAGTTACTATCGCAGACGCGTAGGCACATCTGCCACAATAAACTATTTTAAATAATATTTTGTTTTATTCTAAAAGTAGTTGTCTCCTTGAACTCTAGTAGCCTATGTGTTCTTTCAGACTATGTTCTATATGTATGCCAAATTTAATCGAGATCTGTTCAGCCGTTCTAGAGATATCTTCAAACAAAAATCCATCCATGTAAACATGCGCATTTGTAATTAAAGGAAAATTATACAGTTGAAATAAGTGTGTTATGGTTGTACATGGTTCTGTGATGGAGAAAAAACAGTGATAAGACATAACTTAAGACAAATTAAGTTTGTATGATGAATGACATGCACTTTTAAGCTACAAATAAGCTTGAAAAATGTCAAAAAAGTTTATAGTCATTATCCAAAAACAAAATTTAAACGGGACTGACTAAACACACAGAAATAAAGTGGAATTGCTATAGAGCAAAAAAATATTTACAAAACAAGTACGAAATTGTAGTATTATAAAATACATCTGTTTTTTTTTACTTTCTTTTCAAACAACATAAAACTTTTGAATACGTGATTATAGGTTATGTTGATAGACTGCATTCAAAATTAATACACTGGTGTTAGAACAAAGTGGATTGTATCGTTGGCATTCTATTTTTATAACAATCATGTCGATGTATCATCTATAGTTACTTGGAACTTTAGACGACGCCCACATGAATTGTAAATTACTAATGCAAACCCATAAATTCATCCAATCTGTGCAAATATTGTCTTATGCTTTTTATAACATTTCTGCAAAAGCTTTATAAAACTTATGAGATCAGATGTCAATGGTTAAAATACATTAAAAAAACATGAAAATCTCCAATTAGTTCGAAATAAAGAAGCTCGGTAGAAAGCTTCCGTAATAATTCAATTGTATTTGATTTAAATAGTACTTTTCGTGTTAAACTTCCGGTTTCTGTGTAATAATTTCTACGATTTGTAAAAACAATAAGCTTTATGTTACCTTTCTTTATATTGCATAGAATTGGTAATGTAAACCTAAATTATTTACTTGAATATCATAAATATCCTGACTATTTCAGAGAAAAAAAAATAAGACACTAATTTGAAAAATCTCAAAAGTTCATATTTTTTAATGTGAACACAAAGGCCGCCTACAAATCGCATGCGGATATGATGTAACGGTTCGACCTACAAGCACTACCTGCCTTGAATTGTAATCAATTTCAACTCGGTTATACATACTGCAAGGAAGTCATTCTCCGAAAGCATTTGTCCATCTGTTTATTAGGCGGCCTACTGGCCTGTTGTACTAATGATAATAAGATGAGCTCAGACAAATCTTAGATTTTATAATCGCATTTTCGAAATGAAAGAGTACTTTATTTTCAATTTATATATTTTTGAAGGAACTTAATGTTCAATTGAATAATTTCGTTAATCAAGTGACTAAATAAATTGATGAGTAGCCTACATGTTTTTTAATTAATTATTCCCGTTTTACTGCTTGAAATAGGATTGGAAAAGGAAAAACGCAGGGTTTTATTTGCTTATTAGGAAAATAAAAAATATTTTCCTATTAATACAATCATTTTATGCCCTACCTATGAGGGTGTCAAAAAGTTAATATATTAGCCAAGGGTTCTAAGACCTCACTAACAAAATTCTTTAGAAGAGTGATAACATGCTTCCATATAAGGAATGTGACGAGATTTGCATCGAGAAGCTTACGTATTCCGCTGTGATACAAAACCATATCGCTGTGTAACTTTTGTGCAGCGCCATCTAGTATTGAAATATAAATCTCTATTTAAAACATCTTCAGGCTACATTGTCTTTTTGTTTATTAAACCTATCAACAATTGGACAATGAAGCAAATTAATAACAATGTCTGACAGATTGTTGCGGCGCACAGACTAACAATTATTTAATTAAAACAAAGTGACCTATTACAATTAGTTACACGACCAATTATGGTGAGATAGTCAAAATAATGAGAGTCAAAAGAGTGAGATAGTACAAATAAAAAACAAAAATTCGCCCATTTCAAGAATAACTATGTACACGGAAAAATTTTTGCGATTGCTATTGTCATCAAGCTTTTTAAGGATCATTATTTTGATAAATTACACTGTTTCTTCGTCCAATAAAGGTCGCTACCTTAGCGAAAAAAATAGCGAAGTAACCGCTGTTACTTCGCTATTTTTGCGAATTAAGGCAGCTGCCTACTCGTTTACCACCTTATATTATATTAAAATTGTATCCATCCATATTAAAGTAATAATAAATAATAAAACTTCTTTATTGCCATCACACAAATATATCATATCACAAAAATTAATTTAGTTACAACATATTAATTAAAGATCGTCTTTTATTTATAATTTACTTTATCTTACACCTTTACTTAGTGAATGAACAATGCTCAGTAATTTACTATTACGACCTAATAGTTTAAGGCGCAATGATGTAATGCTTTGTCGTTGGTTATAAAAAAAACAAACGTACCTTGTCTGTGGCCGGCGCCGCGCTTCACTGCCTATAGACAATCGAATGAAATATGGCCGCCGTTTGCTTTTATTTTGAGATCGATACTCTTCAGAGTGAATTGGTAGGCATGGACATGGTTAATTAAATGTATCTAAAATTCTTGCATCCCATATTTATGCATGACAGGAGAAATTGTTACTTAAATAAAACTGGAATACTTGTAAAGACGTACTTAAATTGGTTGACCAATAAGCGCTTGTTTTTTTATAATGTCATCATCCTTCTGCTTTTATCATTTATTTGGGGTCGGCACAATGTTTTTTTTTTAAATCAATGTGATATTTTTCATTTCAGTCTTTAATATCGTCTTAATTAAGTCAGTTTTAACGCAATCTGGCTGTCTCTTTTTATCTTTTCAATCAATATGCCACAGATTTAAAAATATAAAAGTAATAATCTGCTTACGAGACGTTTCTTTCGTGAAAAAGCAGCATTGCGGTATTTATGTAACAAGGAAGCTTTCTTAACTTTATAACGGGACACGCCATCTTGTGTGTTGTTACAGCATTAC